AAGGCCACAAGGCACAGTGGCATTTGCTGTCATGAAATATGACAGGACAGCTGGCTGCAGGACTTTCTCTACATATATCTCTAGTATTTAAGAAGCAATATAGTTAAAAGTGAGAGAAAAGCTCCTCCAGAGAGCAATTTTAGATCACTAAATCCAAACAAGCTATTCTGATCCATGTAACTACTGAAAATCAGCCTCCAAACTTAGGTACTTATTTGGTGTTTGAAATAAGGTCATGTGAATGTACAACTATTGTAATGTTTTAAAATGCTTCGCCACATCTAACTTTTCAACAAGGCTTATGTTTGGTGCATGTAAGTGAAACAGAACGCAAGTTCCTTGTCTTGGACATAGAAGACATATGCATCTGTCATAAGCACATATGCTCTAAATTGCAGAGGTGTGGATTTGATTGGGTGGACTGTTTGGTGGATGAAGGATTGGCTGGATGGTTGCATCCAGAATGTAGTGATGAGTGGCTCAATGTCTGGATGAGCACCACTGACAATTGGCACCCTCAGGGGTCTGTACTGTGACCAGTGCTGTTTAACATCTTCATCAATGGCATGGACAGTAGGACTGAATGTGCTGTCAGCAAGTTGATACCAAACTGAGGGATGGGAAGCTATCCAGTGGGACTTGGACAGGCTTGAGAGATGGGCCCACGCAAACCTCGTTTAACGGGGCAAGTGCAGGGTCCTGCACCTGAGTTGGGGCAATGCTCAATATCGATACAGGCTGGGGGATGAAGAGATTGAGAGTACCTCACAGGAAAAGCACTTGGGGGTACTGGTGGATGAGCACAAGCCTGCAGTGTGCACCTGCAGCCCAGAAGACCAATTGTATCTTGGGCTGCATCCAAAGGAGCATGGCCAGCAGGGAGGGAGGTGATTCTGACTCTCTGCTCTGGTGAGACCCCACCTGGATACTGCAGCCAGCTCTGGAGTCCTCAGCACAGGACAGGCATGGACCTGATGGAGAGGGTCCAGAGGAGGGCCACAGAAACGATGAGAGGGCTGTAGCACCTCTCCTGTGTGGAAAGGCTGAGAGAGTTGGGGTTGTTCAGCAGGAAGAAGCTAAGATATGGGTTGATCTTATTGTGGTTTTTCAGTTCTTAAAAGGGGCCTATGAGACAGATGGGGAGAGACTTTCTAGCAGGACTTGTTGTGATAGGACTGAGGAGTGAAGGTTTTAAACTAAAAGAGGGGAGATTCAGGCTGGATGTGAGGAAGAAATTCTTTACAGAGGGGGTGGTAAAACAGCAGCATAGGTTATGCACCATCCCTGGAGTCATTCAAGGCCAGGTGGATGTGGTTCTGGGCTATCTGATCTAGTTGAAGATGTCCATGCTCATTGCAGGGAGTTGGACTAGATGACCTTTGGAGGTCCCTTCCAGCACCACCTATTCTATGATTCTATGATCATCTGTTAATACTAATCTGTATTGCACACTGCTGGTGTAAAAAATCTGCATAAAATAGTTTTTTTTTTTTTTTTAAATACATGACTTCCTTTGGTACATAAGCCTTTAAATATGTGTTTTCATTCTTATCTCTTTGGGGAAATGCAGACATTTGAAAATTGAAGAAGATTGCAATGGGTACTCAAACCAGTCTTTGTGATGCAAACATCTACTGCTACTTTGTAATTAGGGGCCTAAAAAGCAAAGGAGATCAAATGGCATAAGGCTGATTACTAGTACAAAGAGATAATTGTAGATAGAGAGAGAGCGATGAAATGACAGTAATTACCCTACTCCCACACTGTGGGTATTATGGAGTTATCTGATAAAAACTTCTGTGGAAACTTTCTGATTTTGAATTGTATCTCAAAAATACCAGTAATCTTTAATATTTGATTCTATAGAACAGTAGAACATACAATTATTTTCACAGGGGGAAGGAGATTTTCCCATGCTTTTATGATCACATATGTTCATATGCTGCTCTAGCCAAGCAAATGCCACAGCAGTGATTGGAGCCAGGCAAAGGCTGGTACTGTCGTGGTTTTTTTTCAAGGAAATAGGGAAAAGGGATGCAGGAGGAAGGAGGTTGAATGGATATAACAGCGTTAGCACATCTAATTACAAAAGGTCATCTTTGTTCTTTGAAACGGTTTTTGAAAGACTCAAAGTGCAAAGTAAATATAGTCTAGCTTACATGAAACATTAATGAATTTTTCGTGTTATCTGTAGTTCTGTAGCTTGTTGAAAGACCTTTTCAATGTTGTGTTTTCTGTTTTTTCTCTGTACCTGTTGTGATTACTGGGATGGAAAAGCAGATGCTTTGTAGCAAGTTATGTGTGGATACTGGACTGATCACCATTTGACTGCCAGGTTAGGTATTTGGCTGTTTACTGTGTGACCACAAGGTCTGTCTCCTCATGTGCAGTGTTAGACACAGCTATGGCCTCTAGGTAGATCTGTGCCTTGTACGATAGAGTCTCAACATTTCTCTTCCGCTCGGCATGTCTCAGACAGAAGCATTGAGCATCTGGAGGTGAAGGCACAAAGCACCAAGCTGTGTCTTTTGGGGCTTCACATTCAAAGGGCTGTCATGTTATGGCTACTGCCTTGTGCAGTGGGGCCTTTGTAACTGCATGATCCAGAACCACTCTCTACCCATCATATGAATTGAAATATTAGACATAGCTGATTGTCAGACCACCCATTTTAAGACTCACGTTAAAAATTTTTGTTGCAACTGAAGGAAACATTTTTCAAAGCACCAGCATTTTGTATACAATTGAAATCCTAATTCTAGACAAAAAAGAAAAAAAAAAAAAAAAGCAAGCATATGGGCACTGTGACAGTGCAGTTTGATGTATTTTGGAACCTTCAAGCATTCTTTTCTTGTGATGATGATAGTAGTAACAATAATATCCTATGAATATTGAACACCTCAGTGCGAAAGGGCCCTATGTTCTAATATCCCACTCTTCCGTTGTAGAATTGGTGTTCTGATGATGTCATTTGTTATATAATGTTTAATGTGTGTATCAAGTATATATTCTTTTCAGGAAAACATGTAAATTAGAATCCGTATTGAGAGATTGAAAATAGTGTGGAGTCTAGTATCTGCTATGTCTGAAAATACATTCTCCCATTTTTTTCCACAGACGCATCAGCTGATAGCTTGACAGACACTTACAAGAGTGTTGATGAGCCTCTACATGCTACAGGCCTACTGAATGTATTCATATATACTTAAAAGGTTCTCCTAGAGCATCTGGATTTTTTTCACTCAAGTAAGCTTTTCCGTGTTATTGTCAGTCTTTTCCCCATGAGTAACAACCCATCATGACTAAAGTTATTAATAGATTTTGCTTTAATTGCAAGAAAGTTTTTTCTACCATAATGACTTACTGGCATGTTAGATAAAGACTTTCAGTTGCATGGAACTAAGTGCTTTTTTACAGTGAATTGAGTAATGATATATTCATAGAATCATAGAATTATAGAATAGTTAGGGTTGGAAAGGACCTTAAGATCATCAAGTTCCAACCCCCCTGCCATGGGCAGGGACACCTCGCTCTAAACCATATCACCCAAGGCCTCGTCCAACCTGGCCTTGAACACTGCCAGGGATGAAGCATTCACAACCTCCTTGGGCAACCTATTCCAGTGCCTCATCACCCTAACAGGAAAGAATTTCCTCCTTATATCCAATCTAAACTTCCCCTGTTCAAGTTTTAACCCATTACCCCTTGTGCTATCACTACAGTCCCTAATGAAGCATCCCTCCCCAGCATCCCTGTATGCCCCCTTCAGATGCTGGAAGGCTGCTCTGAGGTCTCCATGCAGCCTTCTCTTCTCCAGGTTGAACAGTCACAACTTTCTCAGCCGATCTTCACACAGGAGGTGCTCCAGCCCCCTGATCATCCTCATGGCCCTCCTCTGGACTTGTTCCAACAGTTCCATGTCCTTTTTATGTTGAGGACACCAGAACTGCACACAATACTGCAGGTGAGGTCTCACAAGAGCAGAGTAGAGGGGCAGGGTCACCTCCTTCGACCTGCTGGTCACGCTCCTTTTGATGCAGCCCAGGATACGGTTGGCTTTCTGGGCTGCGAGCGCACACTGCAAGCGGCTCATGTCCATTTTCTGATTGACCAGCACCCCCAAGTCTTTCTCTGCAGGGCTGCTCTGAATCTCTTCTCTGCCCAACCTGTAGCTGTGCCTGGGATTGTTCCGACCCAGGTGTAGGACCTTGCACTTGGCATGGTTAAACTTTGTGAGGTTGGCATCAGCCCACCTCACAAGCGTGTCAATGTCCCTCTGGATGGCATTCCTTCCCTCCAGCATATCAACTGAACCACACAGCTTGGTGTCATTAGCAAACTTGCTGAGGCAGCACTCAACCCCACTGTCCGTGTCAGCGACGAAGATGTTAAACAAGACCGGTCCCAACACCGATCCCTGAGGGATACCACTCGTTACAGGTCTCCAGGCGGACACTGAGCCACTGATCGCAACTCTTTGTGTGCAGCCCTCCAGTCAGTTCTTTATCCACTGAGTGGTCCATTCATCAAATTGATGTCTCTCCAATTTAGAGACAAGAATGTCGTGTGGGACAGTGTCGATCTGTTCTTCTATGTAGAACACCTAAAAGCAATACATTGTTTATATATTTTTAACAATTTTAATAATTTAATAATTACAAGAATAATTTTTGTTATAAAGTTATGCATTGGGAAAAAATAAATCTAATAAAAAAAATGAACAACCCCCCCTCAAAACCCCCAACCAACCAACAAACAAACCCAAACCCCCAAAAAACCTCAAGCCCCAGTTTGATAATGTTTTACAATGTCATGCATACTCTGCATAAGCTGAATCAGCACTGTAAGCCATGGAGTCATGAGTATATTCCTGCTATAAGAAACATTCTTGAGCTGTCCAAAAATATCTGTCAACAATTTTGCCAAAAAGCACCTGGAATATTTTTGTAGAAATGCTAATTTCTCTTTTTAAACTGTAGAGAAATAGTGATCAATTAAATCTCTTCTCACAGGAAATTAAAAGATCAATGTTCCCAGAGACCTTTCAGTGTTAGGGTGCACATGTACAACATATTTGTGATGACATATTCTGCTGCAGGGGCAGTAGAACACCACTGTGGTATAGGGTATTGAATGACCATAAAATGCACATCGGCTTCTCTCAAGACTGGCATTACAGATGCCCATAAGTCTGCTATTGAAAATCACATCTGAAGAATGAATATTGGTTTTGTAATAGTTCCTCACAGCAGCATATAGAATAGCATATTTTAAAGAAAGGGAAAACCATATTTCTCATATGATTTTATATAGGAGTATATAGAAAGCAGCTGGCAGCAAGTAAAACTGTTTTCTTTGGAAATAAGGAAAAGGTTTTCCAAGCTTAATTATATTAACAATCTGTTACTAAGGAAAATACTATCTTTATAAATAGCAATTGTGAGCTTATTGCTGTCTTTAAAAAATCTGTGCACTGTGCTTGCTTTACCACTTTTAAGAGGTCCTTTGCACAAAGGTTTGCTGGGCAGGTAATTGGAACAAGGTTTCCATTATGAAACACAGATCTGTTTGTTAAATTATGTGCAAGAAATGCTTGAAATGATTAACGTGAGCCAGACTTTCATCCTCCCTCTAAAAGCAGCCCATTTACACGAGTGATTATGTAACAGTCATAAAATTTCAGCATCTCTCCAGCATCTTATGGCAGGATCAACACGTTGATTGTTGACAACTGTAAACACCTGTATTTGCATTCCTGTTTGAATGCTTCCAGCTTCTTTGCCTTCTCTCCCCGTTCTGAGGCAAGTTCTACAGTCCCACTTCTTGCCTGCTCCGCATCATGTCAGTTTTTTTCATCAGAGCGGATTTCTTTGCAAGACGTGAGTCAGCAAGGAATGTAGCTGACGGCATTGCCGGAATGGGTCACGCAGAGATGTGCCTCTGCAGTGACGCAGACTTTGCTCATACAGGAATCAGCAAAGGTTTTTACATCAACTCTACAGCAGGTGGCAACGTATCACGCTGCTCTGCTCGTGAACTGTATTAAAAGAAACAAACACCTATAGTGTGCAGCAGTCTGTAGAATTCAGTGAGTAGAGGAAGGAGAAAACAGCTTTAGATGTTGAATCATTTGTTCACTGCCTGATCCCCCGGGTATTTTTTTCAGCTTTAAAAGAGCATTGCTATATTAAAGAGCTCTGAAAACTCTCCAGTCAGCTTGAGATGTTCCACAAGAGGTATTGTGACGTTCAGCTGTTGGATAGCACTCTGAACGTGCCCCAAGACTCTGTGTGTACTAGGATGAAAATATATTAGGTTGGAGCTTGAGCTTGCATTGCTTAAGACGTACAGAAACATCTCTTGTCACTCTGCTTGCCAGGTTGAGAATGTGGCAAATGTCACTTAGTTTAGTTCCTGTCCCTTAGATCACAACACAGATTATGACCAAGTGTTTTGGGTATCTTTTAAAGTTGTGGGATTTTCTAGAATTTGGGACTTAGTGGAAACTTATGCTCTTTTGACAGTCAGATTCTATACTGATAAAAACAACCGTTCTTGATTAGTCCTAGAATCATGAATGTAGTAGCAATATCCTGGCTCTGCTACACCTTTTGATTTTGGAAACCAGATTAAGTGTTTCTGGAACTTGTATCATTATTTATACTACATTGTATAGCATTAATGTTGGCAAAGATCGGTAAAATCCCATCAATTGAAAGGAAGAAAGTAATTTAATTAAACAGTTTAAGAGTGCACACCAAAGTTACCTTTTTAATTTTGGATTTTAATTTTGGATTATTGACATTCAAAATACATAATGACAGTTTTTCCTTCTAATTTTCTTTAACCTAGTTAAAAAAGAAGTTATCTCTGCTAATAAAGATTCCTAGTCTTGGAAGGACTAGTACCCCCAGTTCAAACTGTAATAAAAGTTTGGTTGCTATTAAAATGCCTTTCAAACAAGTGTTCAGAAAGGGTGTCTGTGTATGTCTGTGGCAGTTAGGCTGAAATGTTTGGCTTGATATTCATCCTGCTAACTTAAGGCCTTTTTATTGCAGACATCTTTAAGGCTATTCATTCTGGATTCCCCTTATAGGTGCTTAAGGGGCATCTGAGATAGCCTAGTCTGAAAAGTCTTTTAGTCTTTTGTAGTCCTAGCACAGAAACAAGTGCCTGCAGCGTTCAGCTGATCTCATACATTTCTAAAAGGTCAGATGAATCATACCACAAAAGTGCTTATCTTTCTGTTGTGACTATAAAGAGAGTCTAGACAACTGGTTCATATAGCTACATTTTAGACATTTACATTTGCTTAGATGATTCCTATCTTTTGAATTTAATTGCACTTCAAATGGAACTACAGATTCTCAGAGGATTTGATTATTAAACCCTAGAATTTGTTGGATTGACACCCAGATACTGCAAGCCTGGCTTATATATTGATTTGAGTAATTCTAATCCATATTTGGAGTAAGTTGACATGTCTCCCACTGCATCCGGTGAGAGATTAATCTGGTAGGGCCTGTCTAACTGTATTAATATAATAAAAACAGTAAAAGCAGTGTAAGGAAGAGTCTTTGTTAAATGTTTAAATGGCTTATTCTGTGAGGTTTGCACAACAAATATAAGAATCAAAACATAGCTGTGATTAAATAAAAGTTTGGAAGTATTTAAAATGCAGTTAACAAGTAAACTGGCAAATGAGACATGTGGAAGACAGTATTATGAAAGAAAATGCAAATATAAAGGGTATGTGAAAGAAATTATATAGGCAAAATCAAATCCATGAATGTGAACTGAAATTAAGGGAATAAAAGTGCATATTGAAATTTTTGCAACCCTACGTGGAAGAAGAAGGAGGAAAGGTAGGAAGATAGGGACATGGGTGTGGATAAGTGATAACATTTTAGGCAACATGGCAAAAGCTTTGGCATTGGGGTGAAGTCAAACAGAAACAGTGACAGGGTGGAATGGAAGCTTGTTCAGAACTACTTTAAATTAACTGACTTATCAGCAAAGTCAGAGGCTACTGTTCTGGAAATTGTGCAAGGATAGCTGGATTTTAATTCTTAATTTTTGGAGACCGTATGGTACCACGTGCAAAATTTTCTTATTTAAAGGTGACTAGCACTGCAGGGTAAAATAGGAACTGCCTAGCACTCACAGACCATCTCTGATTATCTTTACAAGATGACAGAGACAGTGATTGAAAGTTGAGGTGGCAAATGTGTTTAAATACAGTTTTATCTAAAATGTCTCATGATGCATACAAAAACACCCACAACTTTGCACATAATATGTTAGACTTTGAGCTGTCCATCTTCTTTCAGGAACAAGGTCTTGAGTTTAAAAGGGATTTTAGAAGGCATGAGTTTGGTACTCAACCATTGTTACCCCTTCCTCTTAAAAAAGCTACAGTCAAACTGGAAGAAAAGAAAGGTAAAAAGGGTAACCAAAGTGTGAAGTGGCTATAATAAGAACAATTAGGCAAACCAGAGTTCTTCAGTCTAGGGAAAAAAAAAAAATTCTATAGAAAGGTAATTGAGGACTAAAAACCTCCAAGTTGAATGAAGATGGTGAATTAGGGATTTCTTGTTTACTCTCTCTTCCAATGAAAAAGCTGGGGAGCACCAATTGAACCTAACTGAAGCTTCACTCAATGCAAGCAAGAAGATTTGGTTCTTCATCTTGTTTTAGTGTCTGTAATATCTTTTGGAAGAAACTCCACAAATTCCATCAAATTTTACATGCCTTCAGGAGAAGAGGGTACAAGTTCATGGAAGGAAAATCCACCAATACCTATTGAATACAAAGACATTATCTCTGAGAGAGGAAGTCCCAATGTTGTGTATTTGTGGAGGTTAGGAAATCATTGGGGAGAAATCCCACTATGTGCCATATTGTTCTCTTTTTACTTTGGGTTCTCTTTTGGAGACAAGATGCTAAGCTTGATGAATCACTAGCCTTTGCTTTGACCTAGAATCGCATTTATGTTAGAAACAGTGTTCATTGTAAAGAACAATGGATTGATTGTGTTAAAATAGATTTATAACAGAAGTATATAATTTATATTGAGATTTTTTTCAGGTAAATGTATGAAATGTATCAGATTTCATGTAAGGTAGTGTGAATGCTTTATCTGAGTGTGAATTACAGTTGTTGCTACTGTATTTTCAAGAATGTCCTTAAAAAAACCACAACCTTCTCCAATATGTTAGTCCTGTAGCAAAAAACATGAAGAAGTGATGGATGCTCCATCCCTGGAAGTGTTCAAGACTAGGCTGGAGAGAGCCTTGGGCAACATGGTCTAATGTGCGGTGTCCCTGCTCATGGCAGGTGGGTTGGAACTAGGTGATCTTAAAGTGCTCTCCAAACTAAAATATTCTATGATTCTATGATTCTGTGATTCTATGATAAGAGTATTAATGACAAAGGGTCAGGTTACTTTTAATTCTGCTATCTTCTAGTTTTCTTCCTCAAACATATATATTTTGCTTTTATTTTTTATTTAGTTTGCTAGGTTTTGTATAATTTGCTATCTCTGATTTGCTTTAGGTGAGGAGCAAGTGTGGTTGTGTCAAACCCAAGAACATTCACTTACTGTTTCCCGTTTTCACCAGAGCATTTCTTTTCTGTTTATGGAAGAGCCTATCTACTCAGTAGTACCAAATCTGTGGTAAGTGCTGCAATCACTCACATTTTCCTGCTTCCCTTCTTCAGGACTGCAGATTACACACTTTCCAACATTTTATATGGCTACAGATTACTCTTCAATTTGCAGGAAAGAACAGCACACCAATAGGAAATTTGACCTGGAAGAAGAAAGGAAACAAACAAATGTTTGCTTTGATGGTGTCATGGCTTGGCAGGGAAAACACACCTCATTCATGTAATTAGAATTTTAACAGAATTTTTGAATGTGTGAACTTCAAAATAGTTCGTGTTACCTGCCCCACAGTCTTGTGTCTAGTATGATGTGAAAATCAGAAGTTACATACAGAAATCAGCATTCAGCTGAAGGTGAACTGCTTATATTGGATTACATATATCTATTAATATAAAGGCAATAATGTACAACAGCTTTAAATATACTAGATTTCTCTACTATCAAGCTGATGCCACTAAAGCCTATGTGGGAATTACTTTTTGCAGTACTTGGAAACATACCACCCACCTGTAGGCAGGCAAAAAGTTCTCCCAGCTTTCTTTTCCATTATATAATTAACCAGTACTCAAAGTTATGTTGAAAAAGAGTTTTTCAGCAGGCAGCCTGCAAAAATAGCGTATCAAGAGTCTTTGTCAAAGTGTGCATAGTCATCAGTTACTGAAAGACTGTAGTAGGAAAAAGACCATTAAAGAATGCCTCAAATGGATGAGCTCTTGTGTTAAGTAAGTCTTACTGTGTTGAAATAGAGGTGTTAGTTTCAGTAATGTATCTGACCAGTAAAGTATAGGTATGTGTTAATGCTATTCTTTTGGGGGAATACAAGTTGGCTTTGATGGATAGTAGCTGGAGGCAGGAGGAAAAAGTGAAAGAGATGCAGAAAGTAACCAACCTCTCCATTTAAAGGAAAAAAAAAAAAGAGGTGCTCCATTTTTTTGGTGCTTCCAATTTAGAAGACATTGTAAACACTAGGTATGAGATTCTGCTTGCATAAATTTAGCTATACAACTCAAACTTACATCTGAACTAGAAGTCAAAAATCTCTTTTCTGTCAGTGGAGAGAAACATACATGTCTAATATGTGATTTGTTTCATCCTAAAGGAGAAATCTAAAACCTGTTACAGGACTCAGGTGACTGGTTCAGATGCAAACATCTAAAGTTAAGTGAGAAGTATTCCATTCTTTATTTGTGTAAGGGTGCCCCTAATTGCGCTGTTGTGCAGGACGTGGAAGATGAGTAGGAAGGAATGTTTCTTTTTCAGATTTGAGTTCTGGAGACACAATGTTTGTGATTTTGTTTTTATTAGAATGTTACATTGGGAGATTGATCACTATAGCTTCTTTTGCTTAATGCAGTCATAGTTGCATGTAGACTCTTCGAAGAGGGAGACAGCCTGAAAAGAAGTATAAAAAAATTGCTCTGCAGGCATCAAAACCTCTGCCTAAGCAAGAAGCGTCCTCCCTGTTGGACTCAAGTCTGTATCCAGCTAGTGAACTGCCAATACAGGCTGCAACAATAAACACCCCCACTTGTGATGTGCGTATATGAAGTTATGTAGTCCTTTTGCACTGGTGTGTGATTCAGGGGATTGTAAGGAGCTGCACAGATGTGTGGAAACCTAGAGCACCCAAATCTCTATCAGGAGATGTGTAAGGAGGGGAATGAATGCTCCCAGATGGGGAGTGTGTGCTTGTAAATACTCATGGGTCATGTGACAAAGACATGCACGTGTAACTGTGTTCACCTGTGTGTGATTAGAGCTTTTTGGGAGGGTTGTTGTAGGAGGTTGGTTTTGTACGTGTTTATTATAAGCATTTCATATGCATTAGTATTGTGGTTTATTAACATTTTGTATGCATCTAATGTTGTGGTTCACTTATATTGCTGAACCTTGAATATATAGTTCACTAATTGCTGGTTAATTACATGTTGTTAATAAATAGATTAAATTTTCATTTTGGTGTAAACTGAGCAATTTTCCCCTGTAATAATGTATCATGTTTACCAGAGAATGCTGAAGATACTTGTACTGCTTCTGTGCTGTAAGCACAGCTGTGGAGTACAGCACCACAAGAGAAAACAGTTTTTTGTGGTAGAGTAATAGCAAAAATTAATAGTTATGTGATAAAGAAGTTATCAGTTTATGATAAGATCTTACCAGTTTCTGAAATCCCTACCGCTGAAACTTAAAATTTTTGCCTATTGATACAATGGCAATATCAATAAGGGTCTTCATTTTATATCAGTTAACTTATAATAGTTCTTGAGGAATAGAGGAAAATCCATTTAAAACTAGGAGCTTGATTAAGAAACATAATTCAGGAAAGAATGATCACCATTCATTAGGACTTGAGTAAAAAGGAAAGTAGAACAAGCATTACTGATGGTAATTAATAATGCACCAAGAACATTTTCTGTGAAACACTATGTAAAGTGCTGCATTCTAGAGTTTTATGATGAACAGATTCCTCAAAGACAGTCTTGATCAAAACCTTGGAAATAAAAGAGATAACTGAGTAATAGTTGGAATCAATTTTCCTTTAGTTAGATGACATAGTTAAGATATGTTTCAGTATTTCTAACCATTTCTAGAGTTTGTATCAAGTTTATAGGTTTTAGTTTTTAAAATATTACAATTTTAAGTGATTAAAGCTTTAAACTTCCCCATTTGAGATACTATGTGTGAATATATTTTTATCTTAAAGGGCTTTGTTAAAAAGCCCCGAAGTTATGTGTACTGTAAGCCAGGACTGTGGTCTGTGTTGAGACATTTAACATACTTTGAGGAAATCAGGCATTGTCTTGGTGGTGAAGCACAGCTGCACAATCCTTGAATAGTTAATTTTTGTCATTAAAACATCCTTTGCAAGATTTCATCTTAATTATCCTCTTCATGTTGCCTGATACTGTAGTTTTATCATTTCAGTTCTTACAAAGATACTGGTGTGTCTCGAAAAGAAAATTTTTCTTTACTTCTAAAGGGAGCAATTGAAATGTGATATTAAGTAGATTGCATAAAGACTCTAACTAACTGGTGGCCTTGGCAACCCTTAAGAAAACTCATGTTGTTATGCAAAAAGTAGTTTTTTCTTCCTTTTTTTCCAGTCGCTCAGGTGTAACATTGCATCAGTGCCAAATAATTAAGTATTATAATCACTGGTATTATACTGCAAGAATATATGATTTCTAGATGCTCTCAGAGCCGTGTTTGGATTTCTGTGTACTGAATGCAGATTGGACATCAAATTGTCAGCTCTGTAGCTCATTTTATTCCTTGTATCTAAGGGACAATTTTAAATATAGAAGTGTTTGTATGTTATTATATATTTAATCAGAGAGAGGAGTTTTGACTAAACTTGCAGTGACATGGAATTCACAATTTTCTCTATGTTATAATGACTATATATGTTTCTAACACCAGGTAGGTGTGGTTCTCTTTTTTTTGTGTACATAGAAATCAGGATTTCCAAGATATTCCAGCCTATCCATGCTAGTATTTGTTAAAGAGAAGGATCATATTTTCCTGACAAAGAAAATAATTGGCATTAAGGAGTTCTGGGTTGTTGCTCGATATCCTAATGTTTGTGCAACACTTTGAAATCTTGCTAGAAAATATACGTACAGCAAAATATCCCTATTAGATAATCATTATGCATAATGAATAATCAGATCCAACATACTTTCTAATCTATTGTCTTTTTATTTACTCCTTCTACATGCAGGTCATGAACACCAATCAATGAGACCAGCAGCTCAACAGAATGAGACATGGTAAATTTAAAAGGAGAACTTAGCGAAACCAAGCAAATGCCTAATTCTGCTGGGAATTTAGGTTAGCTAGCCCAGTGTCATTCAGCCTAGTAATTTTCTTAGTTCCTGTTAGCTTCTTTGATTGTGCGCCAAATCTCTGCTGATATAAATACCTGTAGTGAAGCAACTGGCTGTGGGAATAGCCAGCAACATATAGCTGTGTGTGACAATGAAAAGCAACTGGCTGTGACAAGTCTCAGATCTGTGATTCTTTCTTCTTCTAAACAGATGTCATTGCTGGGTACTTTTTAATTGATTCAGTCCAATTCAACAGAAGAATAGTGGAAAAGGTACTTTCAGGACCAAAATCACAGAATCACAGAATCCCAAGGGTTGGAAGGGACCTCAAAAGATCATCTACTCCAACCCCCCTGCAAGAGCAGAGTAACCTAGAGTGCATCACACAGGAACGTGTCCAGGCAGGCCTTGAATATCTCCAGCATAGGAGATAAAAGATATAAAGATATTTATTTATATCTTGAATATAAAAAGGCAGTTATAACTTGAGGTAATGACACATGGAATTAAGATGACAAATTATACAGCATGAATGTGGGTAACACCATTTTTGGTGTTTGTACAGCAAAGCCAGGGAGTGCTCTTCAGAAGTCCATCAGAAATGTTACCCCAGAAAGTAGTTTCTAACTTTTACATCTCTGTTGCTCTCTTTTACAGCTTAACTTCTTGGCAGGGTATTTCCATTTTTCCTAGTTACTTATATGTCTTTCTTAAAGATTCAAACATGAGTTGTGGTCTCAAGTTAAAATGCCACTGGGAAGGCTGAGTGAACTGCTTTAACCAAAAGGTCTGATGATAATGGAACCCTTAGTTCATGAAGCCTATCTTCTGTTTAGCACAGAGAAAATACAGATCTTTTTCTCCTCATATTAGTTATTGTAAAGTTCAGTGCCTGGACTCACAGAAGTATTTATTTGACTGGGTATATGGATTGTAAAAGTCTAGGGTTAATTTGTGTCTTCAGTTGCTTTAATATCTTATAACTGAGATTGTTTAAATTTAAATTTATTGACTATTTTTCATTGAAACCATACAAATAAACATATTCTTGTTAACTTTCTGTTTGTCTAGACTCTTTTCTTATAGCAATTTCAGCATTGTCCTCATGACCGTGCTCACAACCTATGCAGGAACCAGACTACAAATACTAGTTCAGTTTTGAAAGCCCAGTAGGATCTGTGTGTCCAGACAAGCCAGTGGCTTACCACTGACAGTACAGGTATGCATTTTCTTATTAGCATTAATGTTTCTCTCCCTAAGTGAGACTCTGAGAGCCTCACTAGAAGTAGGCTAATGCCTGTATGTGAGCTGAAGTGTGCTCTCAGTTGAGATCTGCTGAAGAAAAGGCCAAATCATGTCTGCATTCCCCAAACCACTCTCTGCCCTGCTGGAAGTCAGTAGAATTAAGCTGGCACTTGGATGTTCCAGAGATTACCTGACAGAAATGTGAAAGGGGAAAAAACAAATGAAGTTAGGAAGTCTGTACACCGACTGCAATTCTTTCTAATATCCTCTTTCTTCCATTTTTGATAGGGAGAAAATGACTTGGAAGTCAGTGATGTAACATATCTATGAGCCATTATCAATCTCACTGGGAAGATTCCAGAGTTCTTTTCCCTTGTCTTGTAAAGAAGTGCATCATAGTAGTTAGATAGGAAACCAAAACCAGTAGGCAATCATCCCTTGTAGAACAGAAAACCACTGAAGAGGTTATAAAACAAAAGTAGACAGTGGGATTGAGTGCGCCCTCAGCAAGTTTGCTGATGGCACCAAGCTGTGTGGTTTGGTTGATACGCTGGAGGGAAGGAATGCCATCCAGAGGGACCTCGACATGCTTGTGAGCTGGGCTGATGCCAACCTCATGAAGTTTAACCATGCCAAGTGCAAGGTCCTACACCTGGGTTGGAGCAATCCCAGGCACAGCTACAGGCTGGGCAGAGAAGAGATTCAGAGCAGCCCTGCAGAGAAAGACTTGGGGGTGCTGGTCAATCAGAAAATGGACATGAGCCGCTTGCAGTGTGCGCTCGCAGCCCAGAAAGCCAACCGTATCCTGGGCTGCATCAAAAGGAGCGTGACCAGCAGGTCGAAGGAGGTGACCCTGCCCCTCTACTCTGCTCTTGTGAGACCTCACCTGCAGTATTGTGTGCAGTTCTGGTGTCCTCAACATAAAAAGGACATGGAACTGTTGGAACAAGTCCAGAGGAGGGCCATGAGGATGATCAGGGGGCTGGAGCACCTCCTGTATGAAGATTGGCTGAGAAAGTTGTGACTGTTCAGCCTGGAGAAGAGAAGGCTGCATGGAGACCTCATAGCAGCCTTCCAGTATCCGAAGCGGGCCTATAAGCATGCTGGGGAGGGACTCTTCATTAGGGACTGTAGAGATAGGACAAGGGGTAACGGGTTAAAGCTTAAACAGGGGAAGTTTAGATTGGATATAAGGAGGAAATTCTTTACTGTTAGGGTGATGAGGCACTGGAATAGGTTGCCCAAGGAGGTTGTGAATGCTTCATCCCTGGCAGTGCTCAAGACCAGGCTGGACAGAGCCTTGGGTGATATGGTTTAGTGTGAGGTGTCCCTGCCCATGGCAGGGGGGCTGGAACTTGATGATCTTACGGTCCTCTCCAACCCTAACTATTCTATGATTCTATGATTCTATAGCTACTGACTGCTGGGGTAGTTTATCCTACATATTCGTTTTTTTCCAACTTTGGAGGTAATATAATGTTTAAATTTAAATTGTTGACATTAAATAAGCATTGAAATAAATCTGGCAAAGAAATGTGTTCTTGACTTCCTTTTGTCTTGTGGAGACAGCTAAAATCTGTCAGGGAAGCCCTTCCGAGATTCCAGCCCTAGGGATGTAAGATGTTTGGCACCACAGCCAAAGGTAATGAACTGAAAACACAAATAAATAATGTTGTTAAAGAAAACTGTGCAGCTGTGATACCCCTGAGACACTGCCTCAGGGAATGTAATCCTCTCTTGAAAAATTAGGGAGGACTGCAGTACTTTCAGTTCTTTTAAACAAATGCAGTTGACCATAAGATGATGCAGTACAGGACATCTCAAGGATTTTTGGTTGTGTGCAGTGATTTTAAATATTGGATTTCTTCCTAGAAGTGAAGGAACTGGACTTGATGACTTTACTGAGGTTAATTGCCTTTCATGGTGGATTGTTAGAATTTGACCTACAAAAACTATTCTTCTAAAAATATATGAAAATAAGAGGCATTATGTAAATAATGGAATAAAAGGAGACCTCTACATAAATGTAAGAAGGAACAAGATTAAATAGTCATTGATCTTAGAAGCATCAATATAAGCAAGAAAAGACTAGACAAACCAAACCAGAAAGTATATAAGCGAGGAAAAAAAGGATATGGAAATGCAGTAATTTTACTGCTGTTTTGTATTACCTAACACAGCTTTTTATTTTCTTTTATACTGGAAGTACTATTTGTTGATAGCATTTTAATAAAGGTTGCTCTTTTTTGGTTTTATGGAGAAATAGAGTAGAATTTTCTGTAATTAAAAACAGCTGCCACAGTGTTGTGCTTAAGAGATGGGATTGGGGTTCTAGGAAATACATGATGATGAGTGAGATAACACTCATAAGGAGGAGAACTCAGTAGAAGCTTTGACTGAGGTGAGACATACTTTTGATGTGTCTATCTTACACCAATTTTGACATTGCCACTCTAGAAAATAAATCTGACCTAGTTAGGGAGTATGTAGAGCCTTACAGAGCTGCAATGACTGGTCATGAGCGGTGTAACACTGTAAATTGTGTACTTCCAGAAGAAAGATTCATGTGAAGTCACTGCAGTGATAGGGGTCCACCAATGCCTTTCCCCCTCTCTCATCAAGGGCTGTGCCCCAATACCACACACATGGCTGAGGGCAGAAACTGTTAGAAACCTTGTAATACGTGTGTGGTTTTGCTGTGAAGACATGGCACCTGGTCGTTGTTAAATAAGTAGCAGTCTCACTGTTCCTTTGGAGAACTTTGGAGAACAGCTTTGCTGACCCTCCAAAAGTAGTAAGCATTCTGCAAGCTTTGAGACCAACTACGTGAAACGGGTGTGCATAAGCATTCTCCATTCTGGAGTACCATGACTCAATACCCTGTCATGCCTAGCCTTTGTACTTGGGTACTTGGAAGAAGTGGTTTTGTGCTCCCTAAATGATGTGCCTTCCTTCCCCCTTCAGGTAGGCACCAGTCTGGCTTGTGGGGACAGAAGCATGGGTGTGCGAATTGAGTTCTTACAGTCTTGATGTCATTTGCTAGTGCATCTAGCTTTGTATCAATACCTGATCATGATTGGTTAGGGACTGATGTTTTCAACAAAGGGCATTGATTAATATTTGTGGAGTTCATTAGAAACATGATCATACATCCACACATGTATTGTACTTAGGCATGCAATATACTGTGCAGTGCAATGAGCTATGGGGCAGTGCTGATTAAGCAGCATAGGATTTTTCTTCCAAATTGTATGCTTCTGTTTATTATTTCTGGGACTGCAGTTCTCTTTCCTCAGTCTGATTCATTCTGAGTCATACAAAACACGTCCTCATTGAAATGGGGTGCACAGCAGCAAGGGCTGTCAAGCTAGTTCTGCACCATTAGGTAATTGTTTGAGTCTTTTCTAGTGGAGATGTCTGTTATGCAAGCAGTACAAAAAGACTAGGAGAATGTGGGCGTCTGGTGGGAGGATTCGAAGTTAAAGGAAAAGTACCTATTAGAAAAACTAAAGCTTGAGCTTGCTTATTAATAACTTGCCAATATTTCCATTTTAAAATATTTGTACAGTGTAATTCCAGGTATGGAAATGATTGCTTATATGCAGAACTAATCCTCTTTAGTACAGTGAAGAAGGACTGTGAAGAGTCATATATTTAGGGGTAGATTTGGGGCCCAGTTCTGCTATTGGATCAGTTCTTATAACAAACATTAGTGGAATTATATATTAAAATGTTTCTCAGAAATCAGAATGTGAGATACTTGATGATTTTGATTGGTTAACTCATCAGTCTTACTGATAACAGCACAGCAACTTCTATCCATTGTTCTCATCCTTCAGTCTCATTGGGTAAGAAGTTCAGTAGGGCGTATTCTGATTTACAAACAAGGTTACCTCCTTGTATGAAAGGTAGAATTTGAAGCAGATAGCACTACAATAAACATATTTAAAATTAATTTTCTCATCTAGTGACTAAAATTCAAAAGCTGTTTATTCAGAAAGAGACAGCCTACTCCTCCACTGCTTGGAGAGATATCAGATTAAAGAAGACAGCCACCAAGGATAGCACATTAGAAATGACATCTATAGTCACAAAGGGAGGTATTTATACAGGGATGAGGCACTTCCCTCCCCCATATTGTGAGCAAGTTAAGAAGGATCATTATGTATAGCGGAAAAATCACCTGCTCCCTCATCTCACTGATGGGAGAAGAAGAAAATGTCTGAATAGTTGATTTGGAGTAAGAAGTAAAGGAAATAGAATGGCTGACATGAAATATGCTTTATTTTTAAAGCATTGGTTGAAGTACAGTTAATTTGATTTGCTTTGATAGGTGCTGGGACTTAGGTTAGATAGAAACATGAACAGAACTGCCTGAAAAGGAAGAAGGGGAAAATTACTGTATTAGTTCCAAAAAGCCAGGACACTATTAATGAAAATATTTAAAATAAAAGAAAATTGTATGGATTTTCTTTTCTTTGAAGTAGAGTACTATATAAAGATAAAATGTGTAAGCCTGTTGTTTTACACATAATGCATCTCTTATTTATTTTAAATCCTTTTTTGCTTTGAGATACCTTCCATGTCTGTGAATTATGAGAGTGTCTTTTTTAACTGTGTAGCTTTCAGTAAAATCCATTATCAGTTCTTTGTTTGGATTCAGTTCACATTGTCTTCTCATAGGCTATAAAGAGACTCAATCTGTTCCAGAACAGTAATCACAATCCATTAAACTCTGTTCCCTGTAGTCTTTGTTCCCAGTTACATGTGATTGCGTGTGAGTGGAAAGGAAAAAAATCTTTCAGCAGCCTTGCAAAAATTGTCATGAAGATTTAGCAGTCCAGGCAAAACATATACTTGCCTTCCCTTTAGGGTGATGATAATTTACCTGGAAAATTTAAATGTGTTTCGCTTGCCCTATTAAAAAACAGCATCCCATGCTCCTCCATTCAAACCA